TCTGCGGATGGAACGGCGGCGTGCGAATGTGCGTGATCCCTCGCGAACGGCAGAACGAAATGAACTGTGAAGATGTGAACTGTGTGCCATTGTCTGTGACGAGTGTAGCCGGATTTCCAAAGCGGGCGAAGATGTGCTTCATTGACTGAATCGTGGCTGGTGAAGAAATTGTTGACATCTGGACAATTTCAGGCCACTTGGAGTAGGCATCCACGAGTATCAGGTAATATCGTCCTTCCATCGGTCCGGCAAAGTCAGCATGCACTCGCATCCATGGAGAAGTCGGTTTTGGCCAGGAATGTAGTTCAGCTTTGACGGGATCCTTGGCAACTGAAGCACATTTGGAGCAGGTCCTGACCATGTTCGATGTCGGCATCCAGTGTCGGCCAGTAGACGTAGCTTCTTGCGAGCATTTTCATCCTTGTTTGTCCTGGATGAGCCTTGTGGAGTGCTGTTAGAACGCGATGTTGTAGTGATCTTGGAATCACTATGCGGGATGCGGTGAGCAGACATCCGTTCACTGTCGTAAGAGTGTCTCTGCGATTATAGTAGTGCCATAAAGGAGAGTCGCGGTTGATTTTGGGCCATTTTCCGGATTTCGTGTAGTCGATCACTTCTTGGCTCAGTCGATCGGCTTTCGTAGCGGTCCGGATGGATTCGGCAGATACTGGAAGATGTCGACAGTTTTCTGTGCAGTGACATCGGCGTCGACGGAGGCGTGATCTTCCGGTATTGACGAGTGCGACGCTATAAGACGAGAGAGAGCGTCCACCTGCCCGAAATCCTTCGTGTTGACGTACTTGATCGTGAAGCTGTAGTTGAGTAACATCGTGGCCCATCGCTGAAGACGGTTGGCACTGTAGACTGGTATCCCTTTCTTGCTTCCAAAGATTGCGACGAGTGGCTTGTGGTCGGTCTTCAGCGTGAAGTGTCGTCCGTGGACAAAGCGATGAAACTTCTGCACGGCGAAGATGAGAGCGAGTGCTTCCTTCTCAATCTGGCTGTAGTTCTCTGTGCTGGTGTCAGGCAACGGCTTGCGTGGTAGACGACCTTCTCGGATCCTATTTGGGAAGCGGTGAGAGAGAGTCGCTCCTATTCCGTAGTTGGAAGATCGGCATCGCAGTGGAGAGAAGTATTGAGAAATCTAGTGAGGATAGCCTCTTATCTAGTCCTATCGGTTGATATGATTACCGCTAACCCGCCATCAATGTATTTATCACTGACTTTTTACAGTTTGCTAGTACAAATTAACGATTTTGGTAATTTTCTATTATTTATTATAGGACTACAATTACTCAAGGGTATTCGCAAATTTCCATCACCTTCAACAGCGGCGACGACTGCAATTTCCCTTATCAGTCCCCATCACTTGTTATTGCTTGTTATCACCCACTATTGATGACCGCATTTCGCCCTCTATATCACCTGATGAAACTAAAGCCTTGCTGATGCACTGACGCGCGCTGTTAACATGGTGACCTCACCTTTCTAACGCTGCTTACCGAATCTTATCAGCAGCTCACAGTTCCTATCACCCCTCAAAGAAGTTCCTGTCTCATTCCCTACTTCATAACTTAGAATCAGCAGCTACTCGATGCTTTCACCCGCGTTATGAATATAGTGGCCATTCTCTTCTAACATCTCTTATCGGATCTCATAGCTGACATCACTCCTGTCACCCACCAATAGTGTTCCCGAAACTCCCCCTACATCACTTTTTGAAACCAATGTCCCACTGCTACTGGGACGCTATGGATTTCGTGAAGGACTGACAGACAGATAGACAGACTGACAGACAGACAAACAAGCACACACATGGACATATAGTAGTATGTAAGGAAGCGCAATGTATTCATTAATTTGGCTATTATCTATTGATTGGTACTTTGAGGCAGGCGTCAATGTCGTGGCTATGCCAGGAAGGAAACGCATGGAATGGGCTCAAGGAAATGTCGCAGACTGCAAAAGAGATACTGACTTTGAGAAGGCACGCTCCCGTTTCGTCTTCGATATTAAGAAGACTGATGGTACAACTTTTGAGAAGGTAGGCCGTGCATTATACATTTTTCGAAACTCCGTTGTATCACAACCAGATCGGCTCCGCACAGTGTCACGTGCATTAGACTGCGCTAACGAAAAAGGGTCTCGGCTTTTCTTGAGACATCAGTTTGTGAAATCTTGTGTGGAAAGCAGAAATCTGTTGGGATTTTCCATTACATTTCTTAAACAAAACAAATACTCAAAAATCATTCAGCGTTCATTTGAGAGTGAATGGGGTCCCTAGAAGACGGAATTGGACGTTTGGAAAAGACGAAGCACGTAGAAGTGAAGGGCTAGACGCGTTCATCGCAGTTCTGATGATACATTTGTTTTCGTTAAAATTAAAGGCAGGATCCGCGATCAAGTATAGAAGTTGAAATAATGGCCTCGGGAAAGTAGTGCAGTCCGCGCTAAACAATATCATATCGCTTTCGCGGCGAAAAAATTGTTAGAGAAGGGCGCCATAACGCAATACAGGTTCAGCGACGCCTCCTTTTTTCCAGTGGCTCCGCCGCCAAACCCGCCTTTAATGCCCGCCTTTCAGTGAAAACTGAGCTGCAGTAAGAGAACGC